AGTTTGCGGCACATAATATCGTATCTTGGAGAGGATCCCCACCGTTTTGGATACTTTTTTTGTTATGTGTTGGATATGGGTGCTGAAATTTAGGTTGTTGTCAAGGTATAGACCTAGGAATTTGCCCTCATTATGTCTGGCAATTAGAGTGTTGTTAATCTTAATGTTAAGTTGCGCAACACCTGCTCTGCTACCAAACATAATGTAGTAGGCTTTGTCAGTGTTAAGTGTAAGTTTATTGGCTGTCATCCAAGTCAGAATTTTGAGCAGCTCCTCGTTGACAATGGTGTTGAGGGTGGCAAGATTAGGGTGGGAGATGACGTAAGTCGTGTCGTCAGCAAAGAGAATGGGTTTCAGGTGTTGGGATACGTTTGGAAGATCATTAATGTAAATGAGGAAGAGCAGGGGATCAAGGACACTTCCCTGCGGAACTCCAGTATCAAGTGGTCGTGTTGATGAGGCTGTGTCTTTAATGGTGACATACTGATACCTATTAGTAAGGTAGGATTTGAAATATGCAAGCACATGGCCTCTTATACCATAATTGGTGTGGCTTATCAAGAATACCAAGAAACAATTAATCCCAGAGGGTTAGTCACCCAGGATAACCCAAGAAAGTCAGTGTGTCATCAAGGACTGTCTAACTTATTTCTATTGGGGTCCTTAATCTTGTCCCCCTGGATGCAACCCACACCAGTCAACTAACACCCAGGTGAACAGGTAAAAATGCCTGGAACTAGTGCCCATATCGGTGAATTTAAGGCCAGCAAAGGTTGGTTTGAGAGATTTAAGACTCTTAGTGGCATACACAGTTTGAGAAGGCCTGTTCTGGAAGAAAATACCAAACAGGACCTACATTACTCAGGAGGAAAAGGCACTCCTAGGATACAGTGTCTCATCACTCATCACTACATCGTCAATAAAGGTAGGTGTCATTTATTCTTCATTTAATACACTAGTACATGCACAATATATATTGTGAATGTATCCTTCTTTTTGTGTGTAGGAAAATGTATATTTCATGTGATAATTTTTTTTTTTTTCATACTTTTGGGTGTCTTGAACGGATTAATTTGATTTCCATTATTTCTTATGGGGAAAATTAATTTGACTTAAGATAATTTCGTCTTATGATGTCCTCTCAAGAATGGATTAATATCGTAAGTCGGGGGTCCACTGTATGTGTATTTTACTTTTTTATTGGTTTTTAATGCCTAGTTGTATTGCTTACTTAAAATATGTTAGTGTAAACTTGTTATCTAGTACAGTGGACCCCCAACTTACGATATTAATTCGGTCCAGAACGTTGTTCGGGTGCCGTTACTGGACGAATTTGCTCCCATAAGGAATATTGTAAATTAGGTTAGTCTGTTTCAGACCCCTAAAAATACATTTACAAAAGCACTTACAAAAATACACTAATTGTTCGAGTTGGGAGCTGTTCGTAAGTCAGGGGTCCACTGTATTTATATGTATTTATAAGTGGAAAAAAAGGGTGTTCCACTTTATGGTGATTTCCGCTTTACGGCGGTAGCCTAGAACCTAACTTGCCATATAAGTGGGGCCCTACTGTATAGGCATATCAAAGGACTGGATGGGCAGTTAAGAAATGAATATATTCAGTTAACCCTTTGAGGGTTTCGGACGTACTAGTACGTCTTACACGCAGGGGTTTTTGACGTACTAGTACGCACAAATTCTAGCGCTGTCAAATCTCGCGGGAAAAGGCTGGTAGGCCTACATGTGAGAGAATGGGTCTGTGTGGTCGGTGTGTGCGGTAGAAAAAAAATCTGGGACCCAGTGGTGCATTGTGGGAACACCATCTTAGTAAACAATGTCCACCATGCCTTGCGGTAAGAAGCTCCTCACTCCTCGGCGAATTGGGACACTTTTGTTCCCCAGTGACAGTTCTAATACAGATGGAAGTGCCAGTGAAGATGAGTTTCAAGGTTTTGGTGAGGTTTTGACCGAAACTAATGACCATAATATCGGTAATAGTGAGGAAAACCCAGACGACCCTCAGCCTTCCACCTCTGGTGCTGGGCTGTCTTGTTCACGTTCAGATGTACCAGAATCCAAGAGGAAACTTCTATTTCCCAAATCCCAGACTCAGATGAGAGCATGGGTGATGATAGTGATAGTGAATATGAACTACAAGCTCTTCAAACTAGTTCCAGTAGTGATAGTGAAGTGCAATATTCCCCAATGAAGCATCAGTATATACGACGACATATGCGCTCTGGTAGTGTGCCATATGCTATTCCAAGGGGAAGGAGTGCATCTCGGAGTACATCCCGTGGCTGTACAACAGGAACAGAGAGTGAAAATGACGATGATACTGTTGCAATTGGGATGGAAAATGTGTGTGGTGGTAGTGGTGCCGGCGGTGAGGCACCAGCAGTGGGCCATGCTGCCACCCACGCTGCCACCCACGCCGCTGCCTCAGCTGATCTACAACAAAGGCCACCATCCCCCACCCACCCACCACACCAGCCTCCACAACCACAACCTCCACAACCACAACCACCTGTCATTGTCCAGTACCCACCAGCAGACCGCACCTGGGATTAGCAGGAAGCTGTCAATTTTGTTCCAAATGCCCACCAGTTTGATGACAGCCAAAGTGGAATACGGCCATCTTGTACACTTGGGAACAATGCCACTGAACTGGAATGTTTCGAGTTATTCTTTGACGAACCACTGATGGAAAGTATTTTCATGGAAAGCAACACATACTACGAGTACACCATGGCAAACACATTACTTTCACCAAAATCACGTCTACACCAGTGGAAGGAGGCAACTGTGGCTGAGATGTATCTTTTCTTTGCCGCAATAATGCTTATGCCACATGTGTATAAGCACAAAGTGAAATCATACTGGTCAACAGACCGCCTGATTGCAACCCCAGTTTTCAGTGATACAATGCCAGTGAATCGATTTGTGCTAATGTTACGTATGCTTCATTTCTCAGACAAAACCAGGCCTGACAGAACTGACAGGTTATGTAAGATTAGGAATGTGTTTGTGTATCTGAAAGAGAAATTCAGTACGCATTTTTATCCCTTCAGGAAGCTTGTAATTGACGAGTCTTTGATTCTGTTCAAAGGAAGACTCTCTTTCAAGCAGTACATACCAAGCAAGAGGAAACGCTTTGGTATAAAGTTGTTTGTGCTTTGTGATTGTTACAGTGGTCTGGTATTGGATATTATTGTGTACACTGGAAGTTATACATTGCAAAATACCAGGAAGTTATTGGGCATCTCAGGGGATGTGGTTAGAACAATGATAGAACCATACCTTGGTAAGGGGCATATATTATATACAGATAACTGGTACACAAGCCCCTCACTCAGTGATTTTTTGCGAGTGAACATGACAGATGTGTGTGGCACAGTGCGTGCAAATCGGAAACATATGCCCAGGTTTGACGCTGGCACTCGTAGAGGTGAGGTGCAGGCGTTTGCTGCCAATGACATCATGGCATTTCAGTGGCATGACAAACGAGATGTCACACTGTTGTCATCAGTTCACCCTAATGAAATGGCAGACAGTGGCAGGCAGCATAGAGAGAGCAATGAACCCATTCTAAAACCTGCAGCTGTGATTGATTACACCTTCAACATGCGTTCAGTGTACAAATGTGACATGCAGATTGGGTTTGCTGATTGTGTTCGCAAGAGTTATAAGTGGTACATCAAACTGTTTTTTCCATCTTCTGGACATTTCCATGCTCAATGCTTATAATATGTATAAGATGAGGACCAGAAACAAACCACAGTACGGCGAATTCTGTTTGTCTGTCATCAGACAAATAGTATTCAAGTACCAAGGAACAGCACCTGCAATTGACCGCCCACCAAATTATCAACAACTACCTGCTCGTCTGAAGCATGGTGATCACTTCCTAGTAAAACTGCCTGCTACTGCTTTCAAGAAAAAGGCTCAGAAGAGGTGTTATGTCTGTGCACATACAAAAAAATGCCCACAACAATGCAGAGACACTCGTTTTATGTGTGAGGAGTGTAAAACACCACTGTGCATGACACCATGTTTCAAAGAGTTCCACAGGCTTCAGAACTTCTAGAAACATTCCCTTTGACTGTATATGTGTATATAAAATATAGAAAAATAGTAATAAGCAACATTTCATATCGTTTGTTTGTGTAAATATTTTTTGTAAACAAAATAATGACAACAGTGTTTACACCCTTATTGTGTAGAAATAACTTACAAAATACAGATCATGTTGGCCTCAGAGGCCATAAAAGTTACTCAGAAAAAGAAAAATTGAAAAATAATTGAAAATAGTACATAAAAAAGTAAATAGAAAAATACCGGGTGACGGCAGTCAGCGATGTTACCAGATGTTGTTCAATTTTGGCAAACTTCATGCCTCCATATCTCGGTAAGTATTGACGGTAAAATTTTTTTGTTTAGCCTATAATATTTAGAAAAAAAAAACTATTTTTTCATAAGAAAAAATAATTTTATTTTTTTTTGAAATTTGGCCGACCCTGAGAACGAGTTTCGGAGAGGGCCTGTCGACCCTCAAAGGGTTAAAGAGAGTAATAAAAAAAAGGAATAAGAAAAGCAATAAGGGATTATGAGGCTAAGGTCGCAAGGGATTCGAAGACCAATCCAAAAGGGTTCTTTTAGGTATACAGAAGTAAGATTAGCGACAAGATACTCCCACTTAAGAGTAACTCAGGTCAGATCACTGACAGTGATAAGGATATGTGTGAAATTTTCAATACTTACTTCCTCTCAGTTCTTACCTAGGAAGATACTAGCGAAATTCCAGATATAATAAATTATGTAGAACAGGAAGATAAATTATGCACGATTGGGGCAACTAGTGACGTGGTCCTTAGACAAATAAAGAAATTAAAACCAAACAAATCCCCAGGCCCTGATGAATTGTTTGCAAGAATTTTAAAGGAATGTAAAGAGGAACTTAACATACCTTTGGCTAATCTTTACAACATATCACTACAAACCAGCATAGTCCCTGATAAGTGGAAAATGGCAAATGTAATACCTATTTACAAGGCAGGTGACAGGTCCTTAGCTTTGAACTATAGACCAATAAGCCTTACCTCCATAGTGGGAAAATTTATGGAATCAATAATTGTTGAAACAATTCGTAGCCATCTTGAAAGGCATAAATTGATTAATGAATCTCAACACAGTTTTACAAAGGGGCATTCCTGTCTTATGAATTTACTAACATTTTTCATTAAGGTGTTTGAGAAGGTAGATCATGGTAATGAATATGATATTGTGTAGATGGACTTCATCAGAGGCTCTTGAGGAAACTTAAGGCACATGGAACAGAAAATTTTTCCTGGGTAGGGGCATGATTGACAAATAGACAGCAGCAAGTTTGCATAAATGGGGAGAAATCGAATGGGGCATGTCACAAGTGGTGTTCTACAAGGGCTAGTGTTGGGCCCATTGTTCACAACTTACATAAACGACATAGATGAGGGAATAAATAGCAACATAACCAAATTTGCTGATGACACCAAAATAGGCCGTCCAATTCATTCTAATGAGGACATTAGAGCACTCTAGGATGATTTGAATAGACTGATGCAATGGTTGGAGAAGTGGCAGATGTAGTTTAATATAGACAGGACAGGAAAATAACCATGCCACATATAAACTTAACCCTTTCAGAGTTCACAGGCCCTCTCAGAGACTTGTTCTCAGGGTCCCACAAATTTCAAAAAAACAAAAAAAAAAAATTCTTCTTATGAAAAGATAGAGAATCTTTTCCCAATCATAATGACACCAAAAGTATGAAATTTGATGGAAAACTTACGGAATTATGCTCTCGCAAAGTTAGGGGTCTCGATGATGTTTACGCATCGGCAATTTTGCCCACTTTGAGCACTATTTTCGGCCAATTCCAAGGTACTAGTCGACAAAAATCATAACTATGTCGCTAGAACTCCATTTTTTCTATTGAATGAATACAAGAAACCACCCATTTACCGATTACAACTATCCAATAAAGTGGTCAGAATTTAGCAATTTTACCAATGTCACACAAATTTCAAAAGATGCCAATTTCCGAATAGAGTCCAGAATAAACAAGAAAGACATTCCTGGCACTAAAATAACAAGTTCTCTGTTTGTTAGTCACATCCCCAGGCCCCTCTTATATTTCTTTGGCTTTCCACTTTGAATTTTTATTCTTACAAAAAATAGAAGATTTACTGTTATGCAGACTACTGCATTAGTGTAGAAATGGTATAAATAATATCAGCATACTTGTGAGAGAATATTAGACTCACCAGTTGATGTGTATTAGATGCTTGGCATGATTTGTTTACTTTTGAACTTTGGTAAAAATCAAACATTTCTGCTACTTTGAGCTCAATATCAAGGTAGTTTTCATTGTAAAACCAGTCAAAAATCATCTCAATTTCTGTAACATGTCTTCCATTCTATAAAATGAGACCAGGAAAACTAGAATACAACAATAAATACCATGCGAAAATACAGTGCAAAATCGCTGTTTTAATCCAAAAACACGGTCAGTTTTTTTTTCCTCATTACACACCGTGTCCTGCAGGATTTTTTTTATACTGCACACACTGACCACACAGACCCATTCTTTCATATGTAGGCCTACCAGCTTTCTCTCACTAGATTTGAGGGCGCTGGAATTTAGGCGTACTAGTACGTCAAAAACCCTGAGGCGTAAGCCATACTAGTACGGCCGAAACCCTGAAAGGGTTAATAATGTAGATCTTAATACTACTGATTGTGAAAAGGATTTAGGAGTTCTGGTTAGCAGTAATATAAAACCAACAGTGCATTAGTGTTGGCAATAAAGCTAACAGAATCCTTGGCTTTATATCAAGAAGTACGTATAAATAATAGAAGTCTTCAGGCTGTTCTTCAACTCTATATATCCTTGGTTAGGCCTCATTTAGATTATGCTGCGCAGTTCTGGTCACTGTATTACAGAATGAATATAAATAAACTGGAAAACGTACAGAGGAGGATGATGAAGTTGATCCCATGTATCAGAACTCTTCCTTATGAGGATAGACTGAGGGCCCTGAATCTGCACTCTCTAGAAAGGCATAGAATTAGGGGGGATATGATTGAGGTTGTATAAATGGAAAACAGGAATAAATAAAGGGGATGTAAATAGCGTGCTGAAAATACCAGCAAAGACGGGACTCGCGGGCAATGGTTTCAAGTTGGAAAAATTCAGATTCAGGAAGGATATAGGAAAGCACTGGTTTGGTGATAGAGTTGTGGATGAGTGGAACAAACTCCCAAGTACCGTCATAGAAGCGAAAACGTTGTGTAGTTTTAAAATGGGTTTAAATAAAAAATTACTTTAGGGGGGTTTTGGGTTTGGTGTGGGGGTTGGCCCTGCCCCTTTGCTTGTCACAAGGGTCTGATCCCTGTGCTCCTTCTTTAACCCTTAAACAGTCCAAACGTATATATACGTTCACTAGCACAGCGCCCAGAATATTTTTGAAAATTTTTTTTTTTTTTTTCATAGAAAAAAAAAGTGCACATTTTTTAAGTGTTTTAGAATAAAAAAAAATAGGGTCAGTACTTACCGAGATATGAGGCCGAGAAGTTGGCACTGGATGCTCATGTGACGGCAACATGGAGTCCTGCCGCTTGCAGAAGTGTTGCCGATATACCTTTTTTTCCATTTTTCATATTTTATATAATTTTTATGTTCTGATAATTACAATTCATAGCAGTTCTTGTCATTTCATAACCAATCTTTGTTCTGACACTAGTATTAGGTACTGAAATTATACTCAAATTGTCACAAACACTGACAGGTGGACATTTACACCTGCCTTGGTCATTTACTATTGTCTTGGAATATAAACAAAGTATTTATATGTCCCAGCAATGTTTTGGATATGTGGAAGTACTTTATAATAATAATAATAATAATAATAATAATAATAATAATGAGGAGGGAGGAGGAGGAGAGGAGGAGGAGAGGAGGAGGAGGGAGGGGAGGGGAGGAGGAGGAGGAGGGGAGGGGGAGGAGGGGGGAGGAGGAGGAAGAGAGGGAGGGAGGAGGAGGGAGAAGGGAGGAGGAGGAGGAGGAGGGAGGAGGAGAGGAGGGAGGAGGAGGGGAGGGGAGGAGGAGGGAGGAGGAGGAGGGAGGAGGGAGGGGAGGAGGAGGAGGGAGGGAGGGAGGAGGGGAGGAGGAGGGGGAGAGGAGGAGGAAGGGAGGGAGGGGAGGGAGGAGGGGGAGGGAGAGGAGGAGGGAGGAGGGAGGAGGGAGAAGGAGGGAGGAGAGGAGGAGGGAGAGGGAGGGAAAGGGGGGAGGAGGGAGGAGGGAGGAGGAGGAGGAGGAGGGGAGGAGGAGGAGGAGGAGGGAGGAGGAGGGAGGGGAGGGGAGGAGGAGGGAGGGGAGGAGGGGGAGGGGGGAGGGGGGAGGGGAGGAGGAGGAGGGGGGAGGGGGGGGGAGGAGGTGAGGTGGGGGGGGGTGGGGGAGGAGGGGGGAGGAGGAGGAGGGAGGAGGAGGGGGGGAGGGGGTGGAGGAGGAGGGAGGCGCTTTTGGTGGCGGGTAGGGGGAGGTGGGGGGGGGGGGTCTGGTGAGGGGGGGGGGTAGTTGTTTTCCTTTTCCGTCCTTCTTGGGGTGGTCTTTTTTTCTGTTCGGTCGGGGATTTCCCTTTTTTTGGGGTCTTCTGGGAAACGCTCTTCCCCGTGTCTTTTTTTTTTTCTCGGGTCTCCCCCTTTATTGGGTCTCGTCGGGGTTCGGGTTCTCGGTTTTTTGCTTTTTGTTTCCTTGCTTGCTAGGCGGTTTGTATTTCGGTGTCTTTTTCGGCTTTTTTTCTTCCTTCTTTTTTTTCCCCTTTTCTTCTTCTTTTTTCCCCCCCCCTTTTCCCCCCTTTTTCCTTCCTCCCCCCTTTTTCCCCCCTTTGGGGGGGGTTTTTTTTTTTTTTCCCCCCCCCCCTTTTTTTTTTTTCCCCCCCCCCCCCCATTTTTTAACCCCGGGGGGGGGGGGGTTTTTTTTTTTTTTTGCCCCCCCCTTTTTTTTTTTTTTTTTTTTTTTTTTTTTTTTTGGGTTTTTTTTTTTTTTTTTTTTTTTTTTTTTTGCCCCCCCCCCCCCGGGGGGGGGGGCCCCCCCCCCCCCCCCCGGGGGGGGGGGGGGGGGGGGGGGAAAAAAAAAAAAAACCCCCAAAAAAAGAAAAAACCCCCCCAAAAGGTTTTAAGAATATTTTTTGGTGAAAAAGCCCCCCCCAAACCCCCCCAAAAAAAAAAAAAAGCCCCCCCCCCCTTTAAGCATCCCCCCTTTTTTGCCCACATTTTCTCCAAACCCCCCCGCCCCCCAAAACCTCCCTCGGAAAAAAACCTTAAATTTTTTTTTAAAACCCGGAAAAAATTTTGGGGGTTTTAATAACTGAAGTTTTTGGACGAAGAAAGAGATAAAAAAAAGAAACAAGCCAGACCCCAAAACAGAAGGGGGCCCAGAAAAGAAAAAGAAGAAAAATAACAGGAAAAGAGCCCCAAAACTATTAACATCACTTTCCTCTTAAAAAGGGGGTTTTGAAATTTTTAGTGAATTTTGGGTTTGCCGCCGTTTCTCTAGTGGCCCCAATTTTAAACGGGCGCTCCCACAAGGACTAAGGGGTCCCAGTTTTTTTAAAAAACCCCACTGATTGTAAAAAACCAAATTTTAAGTGGGCCCGGGATCTCAGGCCAACAGCCCAAATTTTGGGGCAGAAAAATTAAACGTAAAATTCCCTTTGGGGCGCAAAACATAAGAAGTATATATGTTTTTGGGGGCCTTTGGGGTTAAATGGAATGCCTCCCAGGGGTCATTGGGCTAAGCCCGGGGGCATGGACCCGTTTGCTTTTCTTATGAATGGGGCGAAATATGTGTACATTTACCCCAGGCAATTTTCCCCTTGTATTGGTTTTAAAGGATGACACAACAGGTAATCTGCCTTACCTTTTATTGTTGATAGGACAAATAACAGGGAGGTACTCTGTCTTCCTTATAAG